CCCCCCCCCACGCCGCGGTGGCCAGGGCTATTTCAGGTACAGAGTGCTCTGTGCTTTGGGCCGTGTTCGGCGGGGGGGGCGCTCGCCAGCCAACATCTGTTCCTTTCACCTGGAAACCACAGCAGGCCATGCAGAGCAGTCACACGACCGCCCCCAGGGGATTGTGGGAAATCTGGCTTGCAGAAACAAGTGCGGTGTTTTCCAAAACACTGTGCTGAAAAAGGGCACTTAGGACGGGGTAAGCCGCTGGTCAGGCGGAGCTGGGGGATTTGGGCGGTTCTCTCCTGTCTCAAAGACCCCTCCTCTTACTGAAGATGATGGAAAAATCCCATGACACACCAGTGTGAAATAACAGGTCTCTCAAAATGTATATCTGCACGCATCCAGGGGATACAATCCCTTCACATTATAGATCGCTGCAGACCTGTTAGCCATGGGTTAAAACATTCATCAGGTCATACAGCTCTGAGACCCTAACTTATCCATCCATTGGGGGTCTGTGCGTGACCCCCATTTCCGAAATTAACGATCCTTCTTGGGGTGTTTTGGAGGGACACAGTCCCAGCGTACAAAGTTTATAAGGATCAAAGATAACCCTATATATATAGAAAAGAGATTCATTTATGTATTTCTAATCAATCCAGTGATATTTAAAAAAAATACTATGCCTAATACTGTAAAATGAGTTGATTTGAACTCAGTGTTTACAAATTTGACTACGTTTCCAAGTGCTCCACTGTCCGTCGCAGTGCTTTCTGTTTGACAGTGAGAAAATGAGGCTGCGCCGTGCGAGAACTCGCACAAGCACGTGGAGGGTTATTCTGTGAAGCAGCACCAGCGATACGCAAACGCCTGCGCAGGAGAGAGCCGCCATATCCGGAAACTTTTAAAAGGCTTGTTTTTTGGTTCATGCGTTATTAATTATGGGACGATCATCCTGTCTATGCTTGCGCATGGGGGGTGGGGGGGTGGGGGGCTTCTTCCACAGCACAAGACCCCGATAAAAATTTAAAGCAGGAAAAATAAATGAGATTACACAAAATGGATGGATAAAATATCATGGCAAAATAAGACTAAAAATAAAGAGCAAAGATATCCATCCTTCCATCTTCTGTACCCGCTTGCCCCATTCAGAGTTGCAGGGGTACAGGGCAGGGAATAACCCAGGATGGGACACTGACCCATTGCAGTGCTCTCTCACACACACACACACACACACACACACACCATTCAGTAACTCCAGTTCACTTTAGCATGTTTCTGGACTGGGGAGGAACCAGAGAACCCAGAGTAGAGGGCCTAGAGGTATGAGGCAGCAGTGCTACTCGCTGTGCCACCACAGCCTGGATATCGTTAGCTGTAAAGTAAAGATATGCAATGAGACTGTGGGTCGTTTTAGAGCCCATAGAGTTAAGTGACGTGTGGTCTTTAGGATTCCCCACCCAGCATGCAGACACAGATTGTGAGCATAAAAGGATGTATTTCTGTTATCCAGAAGCCAGTAGGACAGAGACCCTGAGGAAGTGACCCTGAAAGTTAAACACTCATTCTGCATCGTCCTGCATGGGTGTGACCAGGAAAGCTTAATAGCCGCACATACTCAGGGACCGGGACACCAGCGGTTTGTTTGTACATGATGCCTGTTCAGGTGTCACAAATTAAATCTGCCTCTTTTCTCAGAAGCTGTGAGTCGGGATGATATGAACAACTACATCCGGCAGTACTACAGCGAGCCCAGCAGCGGTGAGTGTACAGTAACGCCCCCTGTCTGTCAGTAATGACCGGCAGCTTCCCTTACTCTGCCTGTACTGTGACCAATGAGTATTTTTTTCTGCAAGCACATTCCCAAGATGCCCCTAATGTTGTACTCTCTGCTGATTTGAATTGTAGTTTTATTAGGTTCTTGCTCTGTCCGGTAGATGTTGTGTATCTCCTACTCTAACACTGCTCACACTTGACCCTGGGCATTCACTGGAAGCTCAGCCTAGCTGCACTTATGCCAAGTCGACTCCTCGACGGCCGTATGCTATTTGTCTCATTTTAACCCCCCCCCCCCTTTAGATGTGGACATCCCCGAGGCTGGTGCCCACATCATCACCACCACAGCCATCGACGTCCACCTCCCCAATAACCCGCGCCACCTGTCGTCGGGGCTGCTCAGCGTGGACCCGCAGCACACGGGCGCCTCCGCCAGCGACGCCTCCTCTACTGTGTGCCGCTCCTCCTGCAGCATCTCCACGGCGAACCCCTGCTCCAGCAGCCAGACGCTGGCCTCCACCACCGACTGCATCACCCAGGAGGCCTCGGTGGACGGCGGCCCGCCAGAGAGGACAGCCCCCTCCCCGTTCTCCAGCCCCTTCCCCCTGGGGCGGCAACGCTACGACCCCAGTGCCGTGGTCCAGGAGTTACTCTCCTCACTCTCCGAGGACTCCTGCCTGGCCCAGAAGGGCCTGGATCCACTGAACCTCAAACTGCCGAGCCCCGCCGGCTCGGCCGAAACCAGCCCAGAACTGGAGCACCGGGTCAACATCTACAACAAGAGGAACCAGGAGGGCCTCAGCACCTTCCAGACCAAGCCCGTCATCCACCTGCAGGCCAGGAAGGCCTCACTGGAGGAGAAGTACAGGTTCCTGGGGCCCGTCAATGCCCCGCTCAGCCAGCTGCCCGACGCCTAAGGTTGGTGGGCGGGTAGGAGTGGGGCACCAGCGCCACCTCCTGGCGGGAAGCTGCAGACATTTCAGGCCAAATCGCACAACTGTCAGAGGAGAAGATGACAGGATGGGGCATTTTAGGAACCAGCACTGAGCAATCATCAGGAATTTCCAATGTGAACCAGTCCCAACACAGAAGCTAATATATAGAAATATATGTATTAGCATTAAGTATGTAATACCAGCAGGGGGAGATGCTGAGGCTTTGAAATAAGCGTAATTGGCAGTGTTAATTATGACTGCACTTTCACGTGGGATAGTGGGGCAGGTCTGATGATGGGTGGGGACTGGCTTTTATCTTTGTATGAAATATAATAAAATGTATAGTCCTCTCTGATCTGGCTACTGCAGGGTATATTTGATTGGATGAGTTGTATTCACTGTAAATTTCTTACCTTGGTCTTTCTACGTTACAAATATTGACATTTGTATTCACAGAGAGGGTAACCGCATTCAGGTCCGAACCTTAAACCAGACAGGCAGGCGGTTGAGGTTAAAAAAGAAAAAGCTAAACATTTCTCAAATTTTATAGGACAAGTACTGTAAAGGGAATGATGCAGTGGAATGGATGCTCATAGCATGAACCTTTAAGACGACTTGCTTTTACGTCCGGCAAACGAACCCTGTGCACTTTCATGTTTACAGACCTTTTATATTCCCAATATGGGGGGATCAAGTGCAAGACTGCAGTTGTTGTCAATTGATAAAAATAAAAGTTTGTTAAATAAAGGTAAATTGTAATTGTGTGCTAAATCCTTTACAGACTGCTTGTAGTCCTCACGCTGAGACAGGTAAGAGTAATTGTTGACTATGAAAAGCTGATTACCATGGTTACGTTCTCAGATGAGTCTGTTTGATCTGTTTTATATTCTATGTAACAAACTTATGAAACCACACTTTGATTTCACTGCAAATTTGAAAGCGCAGTGGTAGGCTGAATCAGTAGCCTGCTTATTGCAGGACAGGAGTATTTTTTCTCTCATTGCATATCTTTATTTTAGGGTCGGCAGTGGGTCTCCATATCGCTCACAGTGTGTGATTTTTGTTTGTTTATGTGTGTGCAGTGACGCTTCCAGCTTTTACGGCACCCAAATCGAAGCCCACCTTCAGCTGCCCCCCCTCCGCCAACAATAAAAAGGACCATTCAGCACTAACTGTCAGTTTTATTGACATTTGTAACAATACAATTAAATAATGATAAAATTTAAAACTATATAAATATAACAATTAATACAAAATAAGATTCATGAATATAAAACTAAAGTAACAAAGACAAATAGAAACAAACTGCAGTATATAATAAAAACTAAAAAAGAGAATCAAGTTATTACACTGTTACTGGCTAACAAACACACATGTGATGCTGCCCTGTTTCATTACATGCATAATATCATACTCATAAAGAGATCAAATATCTACGTTCCTTTATCCCTTTATCTCTTCCATGTCTCTCTTCTTCTTGCTTCCTCTCTTTTCTAAAATGGGCACCTGGGCTTAGACCTTTCTGTTTTCATTTGGGATAATTTGGCACTCGGGTATGAATGCATCCCCCACCCCCCCATCACTGTCAACCGAAAGTCAAAACTAAACAAAGTCACCTTGGTGGCATGCAGACTGGCATGCAGACATTATTCTTAACAATTTCACATAGACCAATAGACCAGAAAAAATAATGCAATGATACAGTATGTCTGTGAAACTATCTATTCATAGTATTATGAGGAATTGTGTTTTATTTGATAGCAGTTTGTATGTGACTGATTTTACTAATTGCAGAGGTGCGCTGTTAGATAGATTCCCCTGCTGCTCCTACCTTGGTACTTCCAGTGGGGGTGCCCTGAGGTTAATAAACCCCTGCCCCCCTCCCCATCTCGTGCTTCTCATTGGTAGCCAGCCTAAGCTCACAAACTAGAATCAGGGCATCCATTCCAACAAGGTTAAATGTCAGCATTGCCTTTTTTTATGCAGGTGCCCCGTGTCGTGTGTGTCCTGTGATGGACTGGCATCCCGTCCAGGGTGAAGCCCACCTCCTGCCCTCTGCCTCATGGGCCAGGCTGCAGGTTCCCCCTCATCCTGAACAGCAGTGTTTTCCAATCCGGTACACAGGGACCCACAATAGCTCCATGTTTGTATTCCCTCCAAGTCACTGAGGGTTGATTGGGAAACACTGCTGTAGAGGATAAAAGGGTCACATAATCTTCATGCATCTTAAAGAAAAAGTGATGTGTCTACAGTCGGGATGTTTGCATCCATGAATTTAAATGATATTCACCAAAAGAAGTCTGTTTATCCAACTCACAGCAAATAACATGTATAAGAAATGAGCATTATTTTACAAATAAACCACACCGTAATCACATTTACATGCCACACTCTGTCGGTGAAAATGTGACTAAAAAGTGATCAAAAACCTGCAACCATGATCACCTTAAAAGATCAGAAATTACCTCACAAGACAGAACATGACCTGAATTTAATATGAATTCTTTTATGTATCTATGCACATTTATAATTTTTAAGATGTGTGAGCGCACATCAAAACAATTCAGATGTTACCAAAGTCCAGTATTAAAGCTAGAATTTGTTGTTTGTTAAATTACTCGTATGAACTTCACTGTTTTTCAGTATTGTCAGTAGAGTACAAAACACAAAGCACTGATTCAACTCCTGTCTTCAAGGATGAATTAGACCTGTGAGCTCGTTTTAGGCTTAAAGTCTTCATGCGAAAATACCCACTGGATGGCTGCATAACCCGATGTCCTTCTTGATGTATCCCACCTGATATGCTAATTGCGTGCTTTCACCTTCGAATCAAGTACTCTCAGCCATGCGGCTCACACATGAAAAAGGTACAAAGGCAGCGTTATTTGCTGTGACATAATTACTACGTTTTTGAAAGTGTCACCTGCAAGCCAACCGCATGTAATCTGATGACTTCCAGGTTCTACAGCTGCTGCTGGTTAATGCCAGTCATGCTTAGAGTTCACTGAAGCGACGGGACTATCTCACACGTGGCAGTGCAATGTGGACACTGCCTACCCGCTGCAGCAGTGTTTCCCAATCCGTTCCTCAGTCCGTGTTTTTGTTCCCTCCGAGCTCCCTGCCAGACAGTCCACATTTTTGCTACCAAGAGCTGAGAGGAAGCAAAAACATGGACTGTCTGCGGGTCCCTGAGGACCGGATTGGGAAACACTGCTCTACAACACAATCAAGCCAGCGGTGAGGAGAGCATCCTGACTGGCTGCTGGAATCAGCTGATCATGTCAACTCCAGGTGGACAGTAACAGAAGATACTCCTGGTTCACATCCTGTGCAATTGTTAACTATCAGTTACTGCACCGGTTGGAGGAGCAGCCGTCCCGACCTGCGCACACTCCAGGCTCAATTCCTGACCGGCTGATTGAGGGCCTCAATTATTAAACAGATCTGCATATCCATTATGTGGAACAAAACCTCATACAAAATTGATTGGGCACTGTAATTGTTTTGTCTATTGGTTATTGAAATGCCTGTGCTTTTTGGGCAAAGGTTTATAGCCCTGGGCCTGTGTGAAATGTGCCCAGCACATTTGGCCCACTGCCCACAGTGGCAAACACAAGGTAAGTGGGCACCCGGGCAACATATCACCCCCCAGTGATGAAAAATCTCAGTAGGCAAGTTATAACTGAGATGCCATTAAAAAGCAGTGATAAATCACAAATGCGGACAGGAGACTCTGTCTTTAAAAGTTCAATAGAGGAACGTTCCTTTAAATCAAAGTCAAATGCAAAAATGTTTTTCTATTTTTAATTGTGCCTTCAGTTAATGTATGGGCACTTCTTTTGGATACTTCATTTCTAAATATAAGTACAGCGTTACTTATCTCAATTATTCCAGCCCTCTAACATACGCTGTGGCTTGTGGGATACTGCATTTTAGCTAATGGTATTACAAGAATGCATTGTTCAAATGATGCGCATTTCAATACACCTATTTCAAAGCAAATCACCAAAATTCAAAATGCAAATCCCATTATCTACCTAAACATACTGGTAGACAGGTTTTTATCTGGTGGACAATCTCTAAGCAAAACATTTTATTTAATTACTTTCATTTGAATATTTCACACAATATCTAAGAAAAGTTTTCTTATGTGATGGTGTTTTTTTATATTCATTAAATATTTATAACAGGGAATATATATATATATATATATCTATATATATATATATATATATATGAACTTTCAAATTGCACAGTCATTCAAGGGCAGGAGACAGGAACTGCACAGAAAATAAGTTTAAAAGCAGCAATTCGTAACAAAAATAGCTAAACTAACTTATAAGGAAGCTTCCACATCATGAATGAATTCTATCATTCTATAATGGCAGTTTTGAGGATAACTTTTACGATACACTCAGACTTATGATTCCACGTGACACTGGGTTGATGAAAATGACCATCAGCCACATAAATAAGCAATAGAATGCCCTGCCAAAAGGTAAGCGTCACAATTATAACCATAAAAATATGTCCTGCATAATATATCCCAGGCACATCCGGACCACAGCACTCATTGTAGATTCTCTGAAGCAAAAATGCAAATAAATTATAGATAGATTCCTGAAAAGCTTCTCAGGTTCCCATTTAATTCAGACATTCCTGAGAGCACATCATCCACTCAGGAGGCTGTTGCCATGGTTACAAAAGAGTTTTGTTTTTTTCTTCAGCTGTCACGTTTTCATAAAAGAGGTTCTTTCAGGTTCTACACACCCTTCTTCACAGTCCTTATAAAAGTGGGTCACTCAGCTGAGAGAGCAGGGAGAGAAATTAATGTCAGTCTTATCTGCAAAGGCGCAAAACTCACCCACGTACCACATGAGAAATTCCCACACTAGTCAAATCACGATACCATAACGGATAATGCAGTGAGACCATTCTCCATCAACCATCTTCTAACCTCATGGGGCCTGGTCGGGCACAGCCTGAAGAAGGTACGTGGGTCCCCCCTCCAATGGGCTCACCACCTGTGGGCAGTGGCCTTGGCGGTACGACCCTTGGCTGCAGAAGCTAGCTATAGGGACATAGAATGTCACCTCTCTGGCAGGGAAGGCGCCTGATCTGGTGCGCGAGGTTGTGAGGTTCCAACTAGATATAGTAGGGTTCACCTCGACGCACGACTTGGGCTCTGGAACCAGTCTCCTTGAAGGGGGTTGGGCCCTCTTCCATTCTGGAGTTGCTCACGGGGAGGGGCATTTAGCAGGGGTGGGCATACTTATTGCCCCCTGGCTGGGCGCCTGTACATTGGGGTTTACCGCAGTGGACGAGAGGGTCGCCTCCCTTCGCCTTCGGGTGGGGGGACGGGTCCTGACTGTTGTTTGCGCTTATGCACCAAACGGCAGTTCAGAATACCCACCCTTCTTGGAGTCCTTGGAAGGGGGGTTGGAGAGCGCTCCTCCTGGGGACTCTTTTGTTCTGCTGGGGGACTTCAATGACAGTGAGACCTGGAGGGGCGTGATTGGGAGGAACGGCCCCCCCGATCTGAACTCGAGTGGTGTTTTGTTATTGGACTTCTGTACTTATCATGGATTGTCCATAATGAACACCATGTTCAAACAAGGGTGTCCATATGTGCACTTGGCGCCAGGAAATCCTAGGCTGCAGTTCAATGGTCGACTTTGTGGTCGTGTCATGGGACTTGCGGCCGCATGTATTAGGCACTCGGGTGAGGGGAGGGGCGGAGCTGTCAA